AGGCTTTCATTGTGATTGGCCAATTTTGTAAATCATCCTGTGATATAGTAAAAATTTTATTGGTTAATCGAAATTAATCGAAGTTCTAAACTTTAATTAAATCATTACAAAGAAAAAACTATTATGTATAAAAATAACTAGATCTATAATAAAATTAATACTGGCAAAGTTTTTGTCATAAGATCTTAATAACTTAAATCTAAAACTATAATCTTATCACAAACAAAATTCTGTCAAACCAAAATTTTATTAAAATAATTTTAATTTAGTACAATCAAAAAAAAAAACCTCCCAATCCAAAAACAAACCAAAAACAAAAAGTACAAAAAATAAATGCTTAAACTTATTTTAGAAACTAATGGCTAATAAAAAATAATAATAAATAACTTCAGTAACTGCTCCAATATCAAGCTAATCTTTAATTTTATTTATTGTATAAATGTTATACAGTTAAAATATTACTACTTCACTTTAACTTTCTCATAAAATCTATAAGCCCTATGACTTCAACTTCATATTCTTAACCTATATTATAGTTAAATTTCTATATTAGTTGAGATTATAAAGAATAAGTTTTCACAAATACATAAAAAACAGCTTAAATTGCCTAGTTTAATTAATTTCTTGTACCTATAAGTTAAACTTAAATATTTAAATTTACCTCTTATCTAACTTCTGAATTACTTCATAGATTATTAAATTAGTTTATAAACCAGAAGATATTCTTTCAATTTTTTTGGTATCAGGGTTTGCCAAACTATATCCATGGCTGCCAAGCTATTTTTGTTACTGAGAAATGTTATGCCAATATATAGAATATATTGTATAACATTTTGTATCAATCATTCAATCAAATTAAAATCTACTATATTACTTCTGATTTAACTTCATACTGTTATTATATAAACTTATATTAGCAATTACAAATAAAAGATTCTTTGTAGTTTATTATTACAGTTTTTTTCTTTAAAAAACCAATATATATTTCTTAAAGTAAAAATATAAACAAAGGTTCTTTACAAACTTGTACTAGGTACCAGTGTATTCAACTACTTAATGACTTTATTGGTAAAAATGATAATCTAAATCATTATATAGCTTGTCATATCAATACTTCACAAGCAAAAAAATATAAAAAACAAGAAACCAATAATTATATAGTATATGTAGTCTAGAACCAACATCACGTGATCTCTAATAACTATATAAAATAAAAATGATTATAACTAATAATAAAAATATTATAACAAAAAAAATATTTCTGTAAATTAATTATTTAAGCTTTGTATTATATTATTACAGAAACAAATTTACTCAAACTAAAGTTATTAGCCAAAATATTTAATATATCTTAAAATTTTGGCCGCTAATATAAATTTTTTAAAAAATTTTTATTTTACTAAAATTTAATTGGCTAATTTTTTATGTAATACAAAATTTTTATAATAAAAATTTTTAAATTTTTGGCCACACTTGGTCATGTGATGTTGGTTCTAGACTACATGCACCATATAACTGAAAAAGAAAATGCTATTAACTTTGCCAATATTACTGATTATACTTATTATACATTTTTGGAGTATAAAAATTTGAATAATGATCTTGAAGAACAAGCCTCTTTTCAGCTTTATTTTGATATCGACTTAGATTCTTTTAATAAAAATATCCTAACTGATATTACTACTAAAGAAAAAAATTTACATGTTGTCGATCTAGTAGTTAATGCAATTAGTGATAGTGATGAATATATCTATGTATTTCACAAAACATATATCAGTAAAGATTCTCAATTCACAATATTAATATACTGGTATAAGGCCTGAAAAGAGTTATGTAGATATTAAAAAAAATTGCAGATATTTTAAAACAACATAACACTAAGACATGCATTGAATATTATAAATATAAAGGGCTAATTACAATCAAAATTTATTTGAAAATCATAACAGTTAATATATCTCATAAGATTTTATACCCACAATTGAAAAAGATTAATATAACTCAAGAAATTAAAAATTATATAAATTCATATATTGGACAAAATATACTGAATATCTATCAGCAATTAAGAATCAATATATAAATAAATATAAACTTTTAATGATTAAACAAGTTTATTACTAGTAGTCATCAATTGTACAAACTAAATATCAGTACTGTAATGATAAGCTTATTTCTACAAAAACCTTTCTTCAAAAACAAAATCAAAAAATTCTTTTTTTTGAAGATTATGAATTTGCTTATTTAACTATTTTCTTTGATATTTTATTTTTAAATAAATTAATAGAGCTTATGGTAGATACAACATATAATACTAACAAGTATAAATATAAGTTATATGCAGCTATGACAATTATGAATAGTTTAGAGTTTCCTCTTTCTTATCTATTTATATCACTGAGCAAAAATTATAATATTACTAATATAATTATGAAGTAATTTATGGTATTAAAATCACAACAATTAATTAATATAAAAATTTTTTATATAGACAAAAATTTATCGCAAATAAATGTAGCAAGAGCTACATGGATTAATATTAAAGTGTAGTTGTGTTTATGGCATATTATTCGAGCAGTAGAGCAAAAATTATTATCAAAATCCAAATTTAAACTATAAAATACAAAGCTGCTGAGGCATATAAACAATATACGATAATTGACCCTTTATAACAATTAGTCCTACCAATATTTGGTAAAATGAACCAAGACAGGTCAAAATCCAATTATCAACTGGCTAATAAAAAACTTAGGATGTTCTATAGAATAGGTGGGCAAACTCTGCAAACTCCGCAACTCCGATATTAAAAAATTAAAGATTACTAATCATTAGCGAAGCTTATTTCTTATATTGCCCACCTATTCTATAGAATATCCAAAAACTCACATGCATATAACAACCCTTATTACAAAACATTTTAATCAGTATATATTAATTCCAAAAGAGGATAAAATATTTGTAAACAATCGACAAGTAATCTGGATCGAATGTGTTACTGAAATGTATCAGTACTGTCATAATAACAACTTAATTATGGTATAGGCTTACCTTTGGTATAAGTAGTACTCCCCAAAGCAATGGCATCTTTGGGCACATTCCTTATTTGAAGAAATTGGAATTCTGCATATGACTATGGTCGTTGAGTCTCATTGGAGAATTTTGAAAAGAGATCACCTTTATAGATTTAATCATCCTCATTTGGACCTTTTATGTTTCATAATTACCAAAAAGGTATATATTTATATGTATATGTATATACATACATACATACATAAATATATATTTTTTTAATTAATATATATACTGTATATAATATATATATTTATACATTTAGGTTATCCCACAACAAGTTAATACATTTAAATTATTATGTTATGGACACCAACTTACATCTTGGCGAAAAGAATTTTAAAAAGAATGGAACTTGCTAGCATCACGGCCATGTGACTTTGGTAAATATTTAACAGACCATGAACACTAGATTTGTTCCTGTCCCTACTTTGCGACAAACAGGTTTTTTTTATGCAAACATTTGGTCGCTCCAATTGGTTCAAAACCAAATACTTTTTTTATCATGTACGTACGTATATACGTATGTATGTATTGCTTAATTACAATTATTTTGAATTAGAAACTGATTTAAATTTACTTATAATTAATTTAGATGCTTCGTAATTCAAGATCCCTTAATTTTATTGTCATCAGTTAATCCTTGGCAAGAGATATGCACAGCCTGTAACTTTGATTCCAATCATGAAAATAGGATAATTCAATTATAATTGATGAAATTAATAAACCATCTACTATAAATATCAATATCGATATTGCAAGTGAAATTTGTGAAACAAGCGATAGTTCTACAGATGAAGTTGAACAAAAATATGCAAGGCTACATCAAGTTTTAAACGAAGTAATTTTTTTTTTTTTTTTTTTTAATAATGATAAGTAATTAGGCGCAACGCATTCTTAATGAATCAAAGACTTTTCATAATCCTCAAAGATTTCTTAATAATATGAAATCAAAATTAAACCCGCTTGAGAAATTCGTTGAAGATATTTTGAACCATGAAAATAGGCATACGTTACCACGAACCTGGAAGGACAGTAATAAAAATACACAGTATAGTGCGGGACAGTAATATCCACTTTTTTTAAAAGTGCCAAATTTTGAGATTTATACTCAAATCTGATTGGCTATTTTTTGTGTAACAAGATTCTGATTG